GAGAGAGACTGAGCATTAAATAAGGGGAGAGATAGGGGTAGAGAGAGAGAGAGAGGAGAGGAGAACTGACATTAAATAAGGGGAGAGATAGGGGGTAGAGAGATTTTTCTAAAAAAAAGTGGGTTTTTTTTTTGGCAAACTTACCTCAACCCCTCCAAGTTAGAAATTGTGGAGCGCAGATTAGTCCAGCATCACTACCGAATTTAATGGAGAAACTTGGTACAAGTTTCTTCGTTTTTCTTTTATATATATATTATATATATATAATATATATATATATATATTAATATATATATAGAGAGAAGAGAGAGAGAGAGGAGGAGAGAGGAGAGAGAAATATGATTCTAAGGGGCCACATTTGATTGAATCTAAGAATGCACCTTTTAATATAAAGATTGTGCTACTTCATTGGACGATCCATTCCATTCATTATATCTAAATATCTTACAATAATCTAAAAAATAAAATGATAATATTTATAAACACATATTTTTTATTGCCTCTTTGATTGTGTTTGTTATAAAACCGTAATTTTACTATCACTTGATGCATTAGTAAATACAACCCAATATGCCAAATTTTTAGTGTAGATGATATCTGAATTATGTAGATCAAATTAAACAGAGTGGATCAAGTAAATTGATTGAGTATATCTAATTTTTGAAGGTACATGCTTAGATTCTATCTAAGTTGGCTCCTTGAATCATATATATATTATTATATATATATATATATATATACTATATATATATATATATATGTATATATATATATATAATATATATATATATATATATATATATATATATTATATTATATATATATAGAGAGAGAGGAGAGAGAAGAGAGAGAGATAATGGCGTATCCCTGTCCATATGAGGGGATTCCTCCTATGACGCCTCTAAAATCACATGATTTGAGCGACATTGTGGGATGATCGCTCTGTTTGAACCTTGATCTACGATATTCCTAAACCCCAACCACACCAAGTTTGCGGGTGAATTCGTTGCTCGTTTTGGACCCTTCATCGGCCATGTGAAAAGTTCTTTCATTCAAACGTTAAAATTGTGTACGAGTGGATGAAGGTCAAACGACGACGGGTTCACCCCAAACTTGGCTGTGGTTAGGGTTTTTAGAATATGTAGATCAAGTCAACGAAGCGGAATCCACAATGTCGCTTTAATCATGTATTTTTAGAGGCCGTCATGGAGAAGATCCCCTCCTATGAAAAGGATACCCATTAATCTCATATATATAATATATATAATATATATATATATATAAAAATATATATATATTATATATATATATATAAATATATAATTATTATATTAATATATATATATGTATGTATGTATGTGTTGTTGGACCCTAGAGGGGGGGGGGGTTTGATTAGGTCATAAGGCTATAATTATTGTGTAATAAAGATTAGAATAAACAAAACAACAATATCTAAAAACAATCAATATAGAGGAGGGATATGGTTAGGGAATCGTTATCCTAGTGACCGTGCGATGTGTTAAGCGAGGTTGCGGTCGGCGACACTACGTCCTCCGGTCCACTCCAAGGAGAAATCTCTACAACAACCCGGTTGGGGCCGAAAACTTTTTGCTACCACGATGCCCTCAGCGATCTGTACACTACAACAGTTGATTCACTAGATCACACTCCCCACCTAATTGATTACACAAGATCAAACTCTCAAGAATTAGTACGAAATGGTGTAAGAACGGCCTCGCTTTACAATGTCCCTATGGCAAGAGGAGAGTCCTCTACTCGATTGAAACACAAAAAAACTTAAGAAAGAAACATGTTTGAAAATTTGAGCTCTGCTAAAGAAAAATGTTCTCTGAACGATATTTTTGAAAGAGTTGAGACAATGAGGAAGAAGAAGAGGTATAGCGTTAAATAGAAATCACAAGCTGTTTGAAACGCCTAGCCCCCCAATCCCTCAAAACCTGAAACAGAACTGCGCTGAGATTGTTCGTGGAAATCGCGTGCTGAAGTTCTTACCAGATCACGCGTTGAATTTAGGTAAAGCGGGCGGTTTGAACCGAACTGTTTCGCTGGTCGAAAACGCGAGACAGTCCAGAAACTCAGTAAAGTCCCAGAGACTTTTTGGCGGTCGACGCGCGGGCGGTCGACCGTGGGAAATTTCCGAGCTCATGATCGACCACGCACCGCCTCGACCGTGGACAAGATTTCTGGGCCCACGGACGACGAATGAAACTCAGGCGCGGTCGACGTGGTGGTCCGACCCGCCGATTGATACATTCAAAAAACTGATTTATTGACTAACTAAAAATATTGTGTAAATACATTCATTGACTTCTGAAATTGTAGAACTTTGTTAAAATGTTTTTTAATACTAAAAAAAATGTTTGAAAGAAGGAATTTGCAAAATGTCATCATACTTGTGAAAAATAGTGTTTTGTGAAATATTGCTCAAAAAATATAAATATGGAAACGTGGTGTGTGATATCCAGCAATAGCTTCAAGTGAATTTGATACACTCTTTGCCTAACAATTCTAGCACTAAGAGAGAACAAATACAAACTAGTATATCCTTACGAGAATACATATTCTTGAGTCATTGTATAGCTTGAGTGGATGAACGCTTCTTATTCGCATTTGGTGTTCTGTAATAAACGTTGCCTTCATCACATGCCTCCTCCTGCGCTTTGGATTACATCGTTGATAGCGGCATATTCCATCTACATCCTCCATTTGTGGTACTGAACATGCCTAGATATGTATATTAACTGTATTATCACTCCAATAAGCCAATTGTACCGGATATGGTGGTGTACAAACATCATCCAAAACATAAGGGTAACAATCTCCCCTTTCTTGCATGATTACAACACCAACCATTATATAACGAGCAAAATAATATTTACTTATAGTAGGGTGCTCCCAGCTATCTTATGAGCTTACCCTAGAATATATGCAACAAATGAGGAAGATTTCTCCCCCTTTGTCACCATCAAAAATGGGGGTAAAGAAAAATGCATGACAAAATTGTACTAAACAACGAGCAGCAAATAGAACTTTTCCATATATTGCATAGCCCAAAGCCCGAGCTTTCTTATGTGCACAAAAATCATACTTCACAAGAGGCTCAGTAAATATATCCGCTAATTGAGATTTGTGTCACAAACACTAAGGGATACATCTGCTCTCTAGTTTATCGCGTAGAAATGAGTGCCGCACATCATATGCTTGATCTCTTACGGAATGCAAAACGACATTTTTGAGGAAAATATTAATCAGCACTAAGTGTTATCACAAAAGATTTTTATATTTGAAAAATTCAAATCATAGTCAACTAACCTTTGCTGTTCATCCATAAAACTAGGCACAATATATAGCGCTCGGTAATGTATTCTGGCTTCGTAGTGGACAAAATGCAACGCTTCCTCTCTTTTCTTAAAGCCATAGAAACAAGTGAATTTCCCTAGAATTAGCATGTTCACTCGTACTCCTTGCGATTACCTTACATCCGGTATAGTGGGGCATCACAAAAACCATATTAGAATGAAAACGAGGTGGCTCTTTGCATAAAATAAACCAATATTAAAAATTCCATCAACATACCTTAATGATCCTTTTAACGCACAATTAAATGAGGATGCTTAGGAGAAGTTTGAAATGTCGCACATGCACACACACTAAACATCGATATCGGGTCTCTAACTAGCGGTACAGATACAAGAAGATACCTATCCATGACATCACGTATAGTTTTTTGCGTCCACATCTTCACCCACTCTCATCCGGCATCAAGTTAGTACTTGTACTCATCCGGGAAGTAGGCGCATGTTAGAATTCTAACAAATTGAATTTCTTTACCAATTCCTTTAGCATTACCTTGCTTTGAGAAATGAATATCCCATCTTGTTTGCTTGACCTTGGAGTTATGAATGTACCTAAAGAAAAAAGTTCCGCTACACCGCCAACCTCATTGTTTCTATTTTATCTTTATTTTTCTTTCTAAGGATAAGATTTTAGCCCGATTCTATTATTAGAACATTGGTAGGTAGAGAAGCGCATGCAGCTCAGGGTAAGTGAACTGGTTGCAGGCCTGAACTTTAAAGCTAACTGCATGCTCACTAATATTTAAATCTTCTATCTTATGTGTCACCATATGCTGGCATGTCGCTAGGTAGTGTGTTTTTATTTGCTCACTTGTAGTAGTTTTGACTCCATAGTTATAGCTTTCGTATCGCTAAACCTTGTCAAATCAGGTTCAGTTCCCATTGCGTGCAAGAAATCTTTCATGTTTGTTACAAGGTAAGTTGCATTAGTTTTTGCAGTTTGTTGCACGCAAAGTGCAATTTGCAGAAATTCAGCACCACTTTCAGCAGAAGAAAGGAATTGCTGGAAGTTTCTAGCAACTATATTTTCAAGAATCACAAACGTATGATCATTTACTTTGTCAAATCTAACTTATTTAGTTAAACCTAACTCATTTATATGAGCTTATAAGTTGGCTTACTTAAACTTTTTTTAATTGGACTTCTAAGCTAGTTTGCTGATGATTTACCAATCACTTAGCCATGAAAAAGCTACTTAAAAGCTAGTTTGACGGGGAAATAAAACGCTCTCCGAAGCACACTCAATATGAAAACCCTCTATAACTGTTACCTAATCCTCCAAAGACCGCACAAAACACGCACTCAATTATCACAAACTAGAGAAGAGATTCTACATGAAAGCACAAACAGCATCAGTTCAGAACACAGGTAGGTAACCAAGGTACAATCAGCATAACGAATCTTCGACTCCATGTCGTGAAGACCAACAATAGCTCTATGTTTTTCACAATTTTTGCGCAAAACCAAGCGTCTTTTACCTGATGAAAGGTACTGATAAATGGTATTCATTAATCGCATTTGTAGACGATATGGTAAGTGGCATCACATTCTTCCATGCAACTTGATGAAGATCAACTGGCACCTGCACTGTAATGCAAAACAAGCAAAGACAAACGACACGAATAAGACCTGAATCCAGCCTTTCATGGCTTCACATAACCAGAATACCAACAAACCAAAATAAGTGTATAATAATTCATCAATTTCCCTAAGCCAAGGGTGAAAAAACATAATAGGTTCCCGAAGAGCCATCCCCATGAAAAGCCAAGTAAAAGCATAATGCTTCAGCACATTCTAGCTAATTAGCATTCCCCATTGTTATCTACAAAGTCCCGCAACATCTTAGACTAAAATAAAGCTGCACTTGCTGCAGTTATCAGACCGCCACCAGTTTGGTGCAGCATAGCATCGATTTCGTCCCCTTCTTCCATTTCAAGCTGAAAAAATAAAAGCAACAAAACTAGAATTAAATAAAAACGCTAGAAAGAGTGAGAATCATATCACAAGAGATACGGCTGTATTTACTTCATCAGGGGTTTGCTCTCCTCGAAGCCTACGACCATCAAACAGGAAGGCGATGGAATTTATATCCACAGACTGCCGGTCACAATATGCATTCATGAGCTTCTTCAACTGGGTGCTGCGCTTGATCCTGAAAAACACCTCATTCCCATCCTGTTCAACAAGAAAGTTGAGCGTGAGATAAAATGTCGAACATAGACAGATGGACTATGTCCTCAAACAAACTGGTTTGTCCATCAAAGTTGATTGAGCAACTATCCTAATAATAAACATATTTTACTAAAGCAGAAAGTTGCCAGAATTGATCAATAACATGTTCTGCAGATGTTTACTTAAATCGAGATGCACAAATGTATATCCAAGCTTCAACAAGGACAATTTGATAACTCGCAAAAGAACATGGAAGGCATGATGTATCACTTTGGTAGTTATAGTACTATGCCTTGGTACTTCAATGAATTTTATACTACTACCTAGTAATTCCAACGTAAGAAATATTCATGCTGTTGAATGAAATTGCATAAAATGGTAGAACAAGCAGCCGAGCATTTGACAGATCTTCGCAATCAAGAGACAATCTGAACAAAGTAAAGATGCAGAAACAACTATCTATAGATAAACGAGCAAGTGTAACAAGAGATGAGCGCTGGTGAGGTCATCATCATAATATAACAGCAGAAACTAAGCTTGAGAATTATACGACAAACAATCGCTCAAGAAGAATTTTGTTACAGTCTGGGATCATATATTTGTAATTATTGGAAGCACTGAACATAGGTTTTGAAAAAAGTGAATGTAAAATCTGGACGAAAGAAAAAATGTACGGCTCTCACTAACCGAACAGAGGCCACAATTGAGCAGAATGGGCCAAAAGAATTCATTTTATATATGTCCAGTCTAGTTATTGGTAGTAATTTGAGTTTCCAACACTCCCTCGGTTCTACCATGCTTTTGCAGTTTGTACACCAATTAGCACAAGGCACAGGGTAAACATATTAAAGAGGTGCTTACAGCCCAGATAACAAATCTTCTGAAAGGTTTCAAACAATTCTGAGCAAATATAAATGGTGCTCTGTTTCGTCACATCATGATTCATCAGAATATAAGTAAATGATAATATCATGTCCTAAATCAGATAAGCATGATAAAAAAAAGGAAACAAATGAACACACCTGCGCACGCACACACAAACTTATGACTTGAAAGCCAGTTTAATACTGTGCACCACATTCTTTTGAAACACAAGCATCTCAATATACATCTTCAATTTAGATCATGTGACTTAGCTTTTATCCAAGACTTAGCTTTTATCCAAGAAACAGGCAAACTTGGTAGCGAAGCGGCTGTAGTTTGTTAATTAATCACACTCAAAATCACATCATTTTCATGATCCCCATATGAAAGCAACCACATACATCAAACAAAGATCTCATAAGTACCAAGATCAGAAGCACTTGGGATGAAGTATGTAGATTCTACTCTGTTTTCAGACACATCTAGGTCCAGCTCTCATGGTCCATTCCCGAGAACACCGTATCCTACAAGGAACTCTTCAAGTTGTTATTTTTTAAGCTAAGAATAATTCTCGTTTCTCCACAATAAAATCCTCAGGACATGCAAATAATCAACTAATATACTTGCTATATTCATCTTCAATCAACCTCTTTCCTACGTAGAGGATTGTGTTTCCCAGTGGATTTCTATTATACACCAATTAATGTGCTTTCTAAGACCTTATAGTTTTACTTACTACAGGGAGATGAGACCTTAGGGCGGGGTTGGATAGCTTTTTTTTAAGAGTGGATGGGAGGAGTTGGGGATGCTATAATGCTAACCATTATAAAATTGTGTTTGTTTTCATTTTAGTAAGCGAGGGGAAGGATTGGGAAGGTTAAAAAGAAGAAAATTTCCTTACTTTCTTAGGCCTCAAATGGACAGATTCGGAGGGGAGAGGTTGGATTTTGGATGGATTGCTCCCTTCTCTTCCTATTTTCTACTCTAAACAAATACAATTAGTTACATCACACTCATTTCCTCTTCTTTCCCTCCCCTTAGGTTTAGACTGTTTAGTTCAATCATCCCGGTCCCCTACCCTCTTCTCTATCCAAACCATCGATTAGTACTACTATTAGAATGAGAATGTGGACCTCTTTACCTCATCAATGATTTCAAGACAAAGGGATCCACCTACCTCTTCCAATCACTGGCAGACAAAAAAAAAGTAGTACCAAAAAGTAATACAAGCACTACTCCATGAAAAATAGAATAAAGACAATTTCACGTAGGAAATGTGATGGGAAGAGAAAATTAAAAAATTGTCAAATCCAAAGAAGCAAAAAAAAAATCAACTTAACAAGCATGACTATCTTGTTGTTAATTGAGAGAAAAATTATCTGAAAACAATAATAACTTGAAGCAATGAAAAAAAAGATCTGAAAACAATGGCAACTTGAAACAACGGTAACCTACAATGTTTGCAAAGAATGCGTATTCTACAAATGCATATATGATTATTTATATAGATCCTAAGCATGAAATAAATGTAGCAATACTTAGATTAAATCATACAATATTGTTAGATAATATACACATTGTAATGTGATAAAATAACATATAGTTTAATACGCACATCACATAGTCACAAACTAATGATTTAATGTAATTATCAAAGGGAAAAACATGCCTATTAAAAACAATCATCATTATATTGCTTTTTTCCTCTTAAAGCGGTCCAACAGCTTAATACTAATGCTTCAGCCGTTTATGCCCACTTTGGGTGGCTTTTAGGCAGCTTTAGGCTATTTTAAGGTGCATTTAGGCCGCATGGGCTGCATTTAGATCGGTTGGACCACTTTTACATTGCTTTCTTCATGAAAGTGCTTTTCGGCTGCATTTGGTTCTTAGGATCACAGCAAGGTGTCACTTCCACTTTTTGAGCACTTTTTCCAGCTTTTTACAACATTGAATTAGACAAACAATTGCGAGTTAAAACAATTCTTCATGATGGAAACAAATACATTGTATAAACAAAGACCTCAAGTCAGACAAAGCCTCAAGTATATCAGATATGCAAATATGAGAAACTTGACATTAGTAAAAATGGAACTTAGCTCTTCTAACAATGTGACAAATTTTCGGTGAAGTTTCATTTGCAGCAATAGGCGAACAAGATGCAACTGAAATTATTCAATATAAGAATTACCTAAACTTGTGATTAGATGAAAGATGCAAGAAGAGAAAATAGCTAAGGAAGCTCAACAGAACATACTAATACCATTTTAACTCGCGAAGAACCAAAGAAACATAGCCGTACCAACCAAACACTTAGATTTCAGCAATCTGATAATATTATGACAATTTTGCTAATGACACTAGAATACACTGCAGATAAGAGTCCTGATTGACCCCATACATCCACAATTTTAGGCCCTGTTTGGCCAAAAACAGAGAAAGGAAAGGAGCTGTGCGTGTTTTAAAAGGAAATTGCCTAATCAAGCGTAAGGCTAATTTCATCCAAGATGTGAAATTATAGCTATAGGATGTCTTCCAAAACTGCTCGAGCCTTGATATTTGCAAAAATATTTTAAAAACACCCAATAGCTCACTTAAGCTCATGCGCCCTAACACAAATAATTTTGTGTGCTTAACAAGAGTTAGCTAGAGTTAGTCGAAACTCCACACTAACTGCTCTCATCGCCAAACCGGAGACAGGAATTTAGCATAAGCACATTGATAATTCAAATCATAAAATATCAATCTAATTTGGTAATCTCAAACATAAAACTACATAACAATAACAATCAAACTAAAATTGACAAAATAAATAAACATAGAAAATCAATGCACTTCCTTACTTTCACAGATGTATAAAATGCTAGATTAAGCGTTGAAGTCAAGATCACCGAAATGGATAGTATCTAGCATTAAGGATGCACACTTCCAACGATCCATGAGACAAGCAATTGATCTCAAATATTACAAAGGTATGCACGATAAACACGCACATTTTCTCAGATTTCCTTGAACATCCTTTTACTTTAAATTATGCCGCATCTTTTTTCCTACCTTTTTGACAATCAGCAAAAAAAAAAAAATCAAACAATTCTGGTATGTAAAGTACTAAAATAGAATTAAGAATCCAACAGTTCGACAAATTATTTTACCAAAAAAGGAAAAAAGTTTTACTTAATTGAACGGTCTATAGCTTAATCTACCAAAAACCCTAGCCCGATCCTTCTGATGGCCAGAATTTTGTGGTAGGATTGGATAAAATTAGGGGTAGGGTTTGAATTACGGCGTTACCTAGCCCCTAAACTAAAGATAGCAGCAGATCGCTAAAAATTTTAGATCAGAACTCGATTAGGGTTTGATGGTGATGATACCTGCCCCTTGACCTTGAGATTGATGTGGATCTGATCCCCTGGTTTCTTATCCTCCTCCTGATTCGCACCCGACATCCTGCTTCTCCTTCTTCTTCTTCTTCCTCCTCTCGATCGAGATCTCTAGTTAGGGTTTCTAGCCAGGGTTTCTCTTAAAAATGAGAGGAAAGCGAGGAAAAGCTTGGGAAGCGGAAGCAGCGGCGATTAAAATAAGATCTCTTACCTTTTCCAAAAAAAATCAATGGGAGGCCCGTGACTTTCTTGGATATTTTTCGCATCGGAAATTACGCTCAAATACGATGGCTGTGTTTGGAGATTTGGGCCATGTATCTAAAATTCAGGTTATTTGAAATTCAAATCTCTAATTTGGGTTCTAATTTGGGCTAAGATTTTAAATCAACTAGTTTCAGGCTCGTGCGATGCACGAATTTATTTAATATACAAAAATTGATGTAGCAAAAGAATGCAAATTAAAACATTAATAATATATAAGTAGTCAGAAATGATACAACCTAAGTTGCATATATGTTTGACTTACTATTATACTGTAAAAAAGAATCAAAATATAATTTCCCTATTATCATAATAAAATAGATAAAATGTCACATGGCTATATGATTAATGTTATAATATTTTGCTATACCAAGTAATTAGTATGCAGCATAAAGTTTAGTTCCAAACAAAATATTTAAAGCATCTAGAGATACCTGTCAAGTATATATATGTATGAATCAAGACAATAATTATCAATATATTGATAAACAAAATATCTATCATAATCATATCAAGTAGTTAGGTTTCTCAACGCAAAACCACCAAAAAAATATGTAGTGCATACAAAAGTTTACTAAATAATGTTTTAGACCAGAATACTAAATATAAGTTTCAGACATCATGAATCAGATATAGATTTATCAAAAAGGAGCTTGAACTCTCTGTAGAATATTCTAATTCTCTTTTTAATTTTGATCTGTTTTTATCAACTAGTTTCAGGCTCGTGCGATGCACGAATTTATTTAATATACAAAAATTGATGTAGCAAAAGAATGCAAATTAAAACATTAATAATATATAAGTAGTCAGAAATGATACAACCTAAGCTGCATATATGTTTGACTTACTATTAAACTGTAAAAAAGAATCAAAATATAATTTCCCTATTATCATAACAAAATAGATAAAATGTTTCATGTCTATATAATTAATGTTATAATATTTTGCTATACCAAGTAATTAGTATGCAGCATAAAGTTTAGTTCCAAACAAAATATTTAAAGCACATAGAGATACATGTCAAGTATATATATCTATGAATCAAAACAATAATTATCAATATACTGATAAACAAAATATCTATCATAATCATATCAAGTAGTTAGATTTCTCAACGCAAAACCACCAAAAAAATATGTAGTGCATACAAAAGTTTACTAAATAAGGTTTTAGACCAAAATACTAAATATAAGTTTCAAACATCATGACTCGGATAGAGATTTTTCAAAAAGGAGCTTGAACTCTCTGTAGAATATTCTAATTCTATTTTCAATTTTGATCTGTTTTTGCTTTTTGTTGCTAGACATTTGCGGACAAATCAAGTCTACTGAAACTGAGTGCTTGACATCAGATTCCAATAAATTTCTCTTGCAAGGAGTAATGTTATCCGAGGAACAAATTTTAACTTTATTGTCACAAGTGACCGATAGCGAGCACTGTGTTTCAGTATAACATAATAGTTAGCATGTTAATGAGGTGGCAGGAAAAGATTGTTGTACAATTAAAGCATGTTAATGAGGTGGCAGGAAAAGATTGTTGTACAATTAATGTGAAGAATCAAGAAATCAATAGTAAAGCGAAAAGAAATAGGCAATCAAGAAATCAATAGTAAAGCGAAAAGAAATAGGCAATCCAAAGTGATAATGGTGAAAGTTGTAGCAATAAAAGATACTACTCAAAAAGAGTTCATTAAAGAATTTGGTATTACATTTAGAAGGATTACTATGATACTACTCAAAAAGATTACTATGACAACCTATAATCAGAAATCTTCTCGGTGAATTCTAGTAATTAAGCTAGCTACTTTCTCAATTAATCTATGGTTAAGTTTTTCATGATCAAGTAAATGCATGGTTCAATTAAGTATTTATTTTTTTTAATTTGTAAATCAAGGAGAGGGTGGTGGAAGTTTTTGATGCAAAGTGTCAAAAGTCATTCTACTCATATGTTAGATAAGAATCTGACAGTATATAATGCATTCTTTTAAAAAATCTAAAATTAAAAACATATTCTACACATTCTGGGAAAATAAAGGCATATTTATTTTATCTATTTAGTTAGCATACTAATAAGATATAAAGAAAAGATTTTTGCACTGTTAATGTGAAGAATCAAGAGAACAATAGTAAAACGAAATTCAAAATGATAAAGGTGAAAGAAGCAACAATACCAAAAGAGTATTTGAAAAATAAGTATTGTGAAATATACAGCAAAAGAGAATTTGAGAGTTTTGTCTTGTCAGGTCGTCCCCTTATTTAATGGAGAGAGGTGTTGAGGTGTTACTATAAGTATTAGTTTTGATCATAGTTGAGTCCGTCCCCTTATTTAATGGAGAGAGGTGTTGAGGTGTTACTATAAGTATTAGTTTTGATCATAGTTGAGTCTGGGTGGAGGTTGTACATATAATGCTTTTGAGGTGTTACTATAAGTATTAGTTTTGATCATAGTTGAGTCTGGGTGGAGGTTGTACATATAATGCTTTTGGGATGACATGAATACTTACCTTTCATTTCACAAATAAAAAATAAAAAATAAATACAAACATGAGAAATGAAAAAGAAAAATAATACTAAGTGTATTGACTTACATTATCAATATCATCTTTCTTTTTGGAAGATTCAGCTTCATTAGTGAAAGGTTCTTGACCTGTCGACTCCTAATGATTTAGAAGGAAAAAATATTACTAATATATTGCTCAACCTCATCTATATATGCAGATTGATACATGAAATGAATAGATATGTAGCTCTATAAAAGAAGGATATATGTAATGTACCTGGTTCAAATTTAAGTTGTCTCTGAAAGCTGCTATCAGATTTTCATCATCAGTCATTTTAGAGACCGAAAATACAGACCAATTTTGATTGAGATTGAATTCTGAAACTTGAATCTTGAACAAAAGTTTTTTTTCACCAACACATCTAACTCTTGAGGAAATGAATCATCATCACCTCCTTGTGAACAATATAAAGAAGCAAAGTAAAGCTATTGAATCAAAACTTTTAATTTTTACAGAAAGGAATCAGAATGGTTACTTTTGTCAGTCGTTCCCTCAATTCGACTGCGGATTTGTGAATAACTTGTTTAGCTTCACAATCAAATAGAACAAATGATGCAGTACATGTATGGTCAATGACTAAAACCTAAACCATGTACCTGATGAAACTCAAAAATTAAAATAAACCAATAAGAACTGTGATCTAAAGTGTATGTTGAAAATCCAGACATCCATTCATGAAGCATATGATGAAATATAACTTGAACATACTTCCACACATACCTTGAGATAACAAATCTTGCGTTTTTATTGTATTTCTCACACCAAAATTTACCATTTTCAGCCTTTACCTTCCTTTAATATTTTTTGCGGGCATTGTAAAACCAATTATAATCTGTTTGAATTTTCTCTATGGTTTCTAATGTCACACATGTGCAAACCTGAGTATTATTAAATAGTAAGAAAATAAAGTTATGAATAATTTGGTGTCACACATGTGCAAACCTGAGTATTATTAAATAGTAAGAAAATAAAGTTATGAATAATTTGGTAGAAAATTATCAATTGTCTTCAGATTAGTTATCTAGTTTGCCACTAATCCCACATTTTAAATAAGCAGTGTAATATCAATAAAGTAACTTCTTCAAAATAATTACCTCTCGTGCCCCCTCGAATTTCATTAAGTGTCTTCCGTTCAGTTAATAACAAAAAATCATCCTCGATGGAATAAGCTTTTTCAGTTGGAATCTGACTAAATCGTTGAGACGAAGAATCTTCTACAAGTTTCAGACTTATGATAGTAAAATTAAATTAATTAGAAATAATATCAAATTACTTGTAAATAACTAACGAATGAGATAATTCATCATGTACCATTTTTTAGATCAGCAACTTCAGGTATGTCAGGATTGATTAATATCTTGGACGCATATAAGGCATATTGTAGTAGGCGGGGAGTCTGAAATTCCCCAATAGAAAGCAGAGCTTCTTCAATGGATCAAGCTTCATTATTTGTTTCTAGCGAGCAGCAAGTCCATGCGAAGGCGTTTGATAACGTCTTTACAATTATTGTCTGCGCTAAGGTAGAGGAGGTGCCTATTTAGGGGGTGGTATTAGCGGGGGAGGAGCAGTTATCCCATTATAAGGTAGTGGATCGGTGAAAGAGCATGTGAATTATGGGGAAATGAGAATCATGGGACAGAGTAACAGTCATTGTGAAAAGAAAAATGTGAATTATAGGAAAATGAGAATCAACAGACATTGTGAAAAGATGAGATGAATATCATTAGTTTATTTGAAATTTGTAAGGAGAAGGGTAACAGACATTTTGTTGAGAGATTTTATGTGGGGGGAGAAAAAGTTGGTTGTCGGTAGTTTTTTTATCAGTTTTTATTTTTATTTTAGAAAATAATTAAATAATAGAAAAATGCCAAATGGCATATTCAATGGTAAGAGTTTTAATATATAATATAGATTCATTTAAGAAAGAGGAATTTGAAAGCTCAACATAACGGATATCAAATTCCACCCGACCTCTTGGTATTTATCAAATCCCAACCCATCTACCTTCTCCTCTCTCGTTTCAAGTCTCGTTTCTCTCCCCCAACCGCTCCTCTCTGGATCGCTTGCAAGTAACCTCTCTCTCTCTCTCCCTCTCCCCCTCTCTCTCTACAGTCGAAACCCTAGATCTAATCTAGGTTTTAGGTCGTGATCTTCGCAGCTAAAACCCTATATCAAAATTAGTACTCTCGATGTGACCTCCACTGATGGTGGTTCATGTTGTCTGAACATTATTTTAACCTATTGTTTCTAATTTTTTGATGATTTATTATGAACATGCAGTAGGGTTTGATGGTTTTGATGGATTCTTAGATAATTCGAGTAGGGAGAGCTTTTCTCATTTTATTTTATTGAGAATTTTTTCCTTTTCATTTTATTGTGATTTTAGTTTATTTTATGACTGTGGTAGCTGAGAATATAATAAATAACTCAGAACAAAATGATACATATCATAAATATATATATATATTGTTGGCCTTCTTATTTTGATGATGTTTAACAAATAATTTTCTTCT